GGGCCGTGCGGAGGGGAGGGACGGGGGAAAGCTGAAGCTGCCGGGCTCACCGGGCGTGCTCCCTCGGTTCCCTCGGCTCCCGGGCAGGGCACGGAGCGCTGCCGGGCTCCCCGTGCCCCCGCTCCGCCGGGAAAGGCGCTGCCAGCAGCCAGCAGCCGAGCCCCGGCTGGCGCACAAGAACAATGAGCTGCAGCCCGGGCATTGTGTGCAGGCAGCTCCTCCAGAGCGCGAACACCCAAACCCCCAAAAACCCCCCAAACCCCCAAAACAAACAGGCAGAGCAGCCCCTGGCCAGCCGGGCACGGACACAGCCCCCTCCGCCAGCCGGGGGCAAACTCGGGCACGGGAACCAGCAGGAGACGGCTTCACCACAAGTGCTTTTATTATCACAGAAACGCTTCCACGCCTCTTAACCACCATGGGCTTCTCCATTCTAAGGGAGCTGGGTAGCAAAAGGGAAAAAAATTAAAAAAGAAAAAGAAACCCCAACAATGTTTGCCTGGCAATACCAGAACAAAAATATGTTGTACGTTGCACATTATTAAAAATTTTGACGTGTGCCTTTCACGACCAATAACTACTTATTTTGACAGAGTGTTCATTTTTATCTGGTTAAACCCCACATTTTAGAACAGGCACACTACCTGAATTGTCACTTCAGATCTGCTCAGAGAACGCATTTTTTACTGAATTCTAACAGGATGAACTAGTGCATGAGGCTCCTCAATTCAGCTGCACGGGTGCACAAGCAAATAACACCTCCGATTTCAATAATTGGCCAATGTAAGCCAGGAGTAAACAGCCATCAGACAGCAGCCTGCTGACTGCATAAAAACCCTCTGAGCTCCTCATCTCCAAGAACGCTGCTGCTTCGAGGAAAAACTCAGCCTAAGAACTCAGCAAACCAAAATAACTGCAAGCAGCCTGTAAAAATAAATCTAAGGGCAGAGACACCTCAACAATGAATCATATTGTTTTCTTCCCAGCAATTTCTTGAGCAGTCAGTTTCAGCAATCAAGCCTCCAATGTTGTCTACCTCCTACTACTTTCCTGATTCTGGGCATCTTCTTTTCACGCTTTAGAAAGAGAAATGGGAACAAAACAAAACAAAACAAACGAAAGAGAAAAAAAAAAAAAAAAGAAGAAGAAGAAAGAGAAAACCCCACCCCTTCCTATGCTACCGAAAATGTTGTGATTAAATCAATTTGCATAAAATCTTCATTTCAGGATTCCATACCCACACACATGAAAGCAAGCATGCCTTTTAAACAGCTAAGCCGTCCACCCGTGTGCGCGCATTTAAACCCAATACAAGTCGTACACCCCCTTTATTTGGACGCTTCACAAGTTAAGCCTTTTCCCCGCGCACATTATTCCTACGGAGCATCAGGCAGGCACGACAGACGAGCGGTAAAATAAAGAAACAAACACAGAAAGGCGGATAAAACAAACAAATAACCCCCAAGCACAGGCCGCCCGGGCCCGGCGGGCAGAGAACCCCAACACCCCAGCGGGCAGAACCCCGCACCCCGGAGCATCCCCGCACCCCGGCGGGCAGAACCCCGCACCCCGGCGGGCACAGAACCCCGCACCCCGGAGCATCCCCGCACCCCGGCGGGCAGAACCCCGCCGCGCCGCCCGGTGCCCCCGCAGCCCCGGCGGGTCTCGCTCTCTCCCCGCGCTCCCCCGCGGCCTCTCCCGCCGCCGCGGCCCACCCACCTCGGCGGGCTCTACACCATCCGCGGCGGCTCCGGGGCGCTGCCGGGACAAAGCGGCGGCGGCGGCGGCAGCGGCGGCGGCGCGGGGGGAGCGAGCGGCGGGGAGCCTCAGCAGCGGCAGCCCAGGGGCATCTTCGCGGGGAACAAGGAGGGGACGGAGGAGGAGGAGGAGGAGGAGGAGGAGGAGGAGGAGGAGGAGGAGGAGGAGGAGGAGGAGGAGGAGCCGCGGCCGGCCCGCGCTGCCCCCGCCCGCCCCGGCCCTGCCGCACGCACGCACCGCGGGCGCCCAGCAACGCCGCCGGCCGCGCGCCCCGCCAGTATCGCCGCGCGCCATTGGCCGCCGCGCCGCGCCGCGCGAGCCCGCCGGCCAATGGCGGCGCGGGATGGAGGGGATTTAAACCCGAGGGGAGGCGGCGCCGCGCACAAAGGCGGCCGTGAGGGAGGGCGGCAGGGAGGGGCGCTCGGGTCGGATCGGCCCCGCGGGGCTCCCCTCCTTCCTTCCCTTCCTTCCTTCCCTTCCTCCCTGCCTTCCCTCCCTTCCCCTTGTTCTGCCGGCCGGTTCCATATCGCTGTCCCGGTTGTTCTGAGGTGTCTTTGTCCCCCGCTGCTGCCAGCCCAGGTATCGCAATGGAATCACGAATGGCTGAGGATAGAAAGGAGCTCTGGACCATCGAGTCCTGCGTACGGCCCATGCCCACCCTGCCCAGGGCACTGAGTGCCACCTCCAGCGGTTCCTCGGACACCTCCGGCCATGAGGGCTCCAAACCCCCTGGCAGTCCCAGCACCCTTAATGTGAGGAAATTCTGAATGTCCAGAGGTCCGGCCTGGCAGCACAGACCCTCCAGAGGTGCCACCCGAGCCTCAGGGGGAGACTGACAGAGCTGCTGCATGGTCTGGCTGGGAGGGACCTTAGATCCCATCCCCATCCCCATCTCCATCCCATCCCATCCCATCCCCATCCCACCCCACAGCTTCTCCTATCCCAGGACACTCTCAGGGATGGTCAGCCCAGGGAGGATGACCCCGCTGAGGATGACCCCGGTGCCCCAGGCTGGCCCAGGACACCCTCAGGAACAGTCAGCCCAGTGAGGATGACCCCAGTGAGGGTGACCCCGCTGCCCCAGGCCGAGCAGCCCTGCTGTGCCCACATCCCTCTGTCCTGGATGTGTCCAACGTGCGCCGTTTACCCCGAGGTGGCTTGTGCTCATGAATTATGAACAGCCATCAGCCCTAGAGTGAGTGTGTGGGAAGTGTCTCCAATGGCAGGTGAGGTACAGAATTTTATGGCTCTGTCAGAAGCTCCAGCCCATCAGCACTCCAAGGTTCACACTCTGGATCAGTCACATTCAGCTGCTGTTGCTGGCCCTGCACTGAATGTTCAGATTATGCATAAGTGCTTTGCTGGATAAACAGCTGATGCTGCTTCTTGCTGCTCTGTGCAGCGAGGAAGTTGACACAACAGCAGAATTCCAAATTACTGGGTAGCAATTAATAAAGCGCTTGGTCACTTAGGAGATTTTTTTTAAGCTTCTTCATCTCTGAGCTATCACATATTTAGACAAGATAACATGAAGGTACCGGAGCTGAAAATAGAGCAAACTTGTTATTTAACATGAACCTCACCTCTCCTCCACAGGCCAGCAAAATAAATCACATGGCTGTAAAGAAAGTCACACATTCTTCCCGGGCATCTGAGCATTTTCATGTGGAATTATATCTTCCTTCTGAAAAGGCACTCGGCTATGTCAGGGCAGATTTTGCCCTCAATTACACTGTGTAACCCCAGCTGTTTGCTGGCTCTGTAAACTGTCTCCGTGGCCGATGCCAGCGGTGCTGCAGAGATAAGTTTGAGGCTGTTATTGCCTTCAGCAGGGGGAAGTGGAACTGTTCTCACTGAAGAGAAGGGAACACATGAGGAGATCTGAGCTCGGCACATCAGAGGAATTCGCTTCTCTGCCCTGAACATACAGGACAAATTTATCCCCAGCACAACTTCGGGGGCATTGCCACAGAGGGTGAGACACAGAGCTGATTGTGTTCTAATAACTAATTTAGATAAGGGTCTGGAAATGCACATCAGCTCAGTGGCTGACACAGCCATCTCAGAGCTGCACTTAGGCTGTCCTTGATAGAGCCCGATTCCATCTCTCCTATTTTCTGCACTAATTACAATTTCATGTTCCTCGGCCTCTGGATGTCTGCATTAAAATCTCCATGAATTGCCAGGCTGGCAGGTTTGCCTTCAGCTGTTCCCAGTCGCTCTCTCTGATGGGGAAATTCTCCACAGAGCCTCTCTCCCTTCCTCTTCCTCTTTGCTCTCCTCTGCCCTGCTGAGGGAGTGGCCACACAAGGATTGGAAGTGTTTACTCACAGCGTTTTGATGCCAGATTTTGTTGTTAAACAAACCCAAGCACTCTTGGGGGGGAGCAGCCTCACAAATACATGTATAAAGTGTGTATCCTAGTGCAGAGGAGGCCACCACCTTGATTAGAGGGATGGGGCACAAGGAAAGGCTGTGGCCTTCCAGGACCTGAAGGAGCTGCAGGGAAGATAGAGAGGATTTCCGAGGGCTGGAGGGACACAGGGAATGGCTTCCCGCTGCTGGATTGGATTTGGGGCAGGAATTGCTCCTGGCAGGGTGGGCAGGCCTGGCACAGGTGCCCAGAGCAGCCGTGGCTGTCCCTGGATCCCTGGCAGTGCCCAAGGCCAGGCTGGCACAGTGGGAGGTGTCCCTGCCATGCAAGGGGTGGCACTGGATGGGCCTTGAGGTCCTTTCCAACCCAGGCCACTCTGGGATTCCGGGATTCTGTTGTGTAATAAACATCTGTGTACCCCCCAGAATTATTCCCAGCCCATCCTAGCAGGCAAAGCCACATCCTTACCCCACAAACAAAGCCACAGAGCTTGTCCCATAATCTTCTCCCAGCGAAAGCCACGGGGTTTAGTTAACACAAGGAAGATCGAGGAACCCCCAAATGCTGCGGAGGGAGAACTTTGTTCCTTTGTGTGGTCACTGCAAATTTTCGTGGTTGCCACCCAAGAGGAGAGAGGTCACTGGTGGGATGAGAGGGCACGTTCTGTGTTCTGTGTGTGGAATATTTGATGTTCATGCAGCTTGTCCCTGTGAGACCCCGGCAGGCTCTGGCAAGGCAGAGTGTGACTCATTTTGCCAACTTATTGAAACAAAAATCTGTGAGAAAAAAATCTAACTAGGAACTATGAAGTCAAAACACACCAATACCAAGAATTTTGTGAACACCATTTCAGCACAACTAGTTAAAATAATGGAGGGGTTTTTTGGTTTTTAATTCTCCTCATGAATTTCAGTCATGAAATTACAAACCAGTCCTTGGCCATGACAGATGAGTCAGGTTGTAACCTCAGCAATGCAGTAAAAACTCAGCTCTAATGAAACAGGCAAATGTCAATACAGCGATTAGCTCGGGAGATAATATTCTGAGAGGCTTTTACAGATGACCTAACTCCACTCACAAAAAGGGATTATATTCTTTCTTTCCTTTTGTCATATCTGAATACCAGCCCTTTAGCTGAAAGCTGTTTGCTTTGGCGGGTTTTCTGCTTTGTTTTGTTTACTGTAGAAATCTCAGGAATTTAAAATCTCATTTCCACAGATATTAGCAGGGAATTTTTGGAAGGCTCATCCCACTTGGAGGCCAGTGCTCTGGATGTGTGTGAACTCCTCCTGGACACAGAGAGCTCTGAATAGAAGTGTCTGTCTGGGCTGCAGTGGGAGCAGAAGTCACGGAAATGAGATTTAAATCAGCCTGGGCATATTCACACCCGCTGGAGGGAGCAGAAGCTGCAAAAGCCCAGTGCTCTTCTTCCCTGAGCTGATGCAACTCCTGGGAGGCTGGAGGAACAAGTTCCCAAAAGGACGGGCTGAGCTGGCAGGTGACCATGGCCCGGCCACTCCTGTGTCCCTCTGGGACAGGGAGAAGCTCCTGGGGCTGCCCGGGTGGGAACGGGATCAGGGGCTGCTCCCAGCCAGCCCCACCTCGGGGCTCCTGCAGCCCCCTGAGCACCCTCAGCCACTTCCCATGCAGCTCCTGCCCCCCGAAAGTGTTCTGTCTCTGTGTCGGCTCAGTCCTGCTGCTCTGCCAGGGTCACAGAACCATTCAGGAAAAGCCTCTGACATCACCCAGTCCAACCATCAACCCTGCCCAGTGCACCACCAAACCCTGTCCCTACACACCTCCCAAACACCTCAGGAATTCGGGGGAAAAGCTCCATTTCCTGCGTGACCATTCTCAGGTTTCTAACACACAGCCCATACAACCACGAAATTTCTGGGTTTAATATTTTGAATATTTTAAATCCCAGAAATATAAAATGTTATAAATTAGTTTCCTCATTAAATTAAAAAAAAATTTAAAAGCTTTTTATCTTTTAAAGGTTTCCAATTTCCCTGACTCAGACCATTTCCTAGTGGGTTCTGCATAATGAATATTAGCAGAGGTTGGCTTACCACAGTGTCTGGTGAGACTCATTTATCAAAGCCCAGGATGTGCGCCGTGCAAAGGGAAAAAAATCCCATTGAAAGGGAACAAAAAAATTTCAGCCCTAACAATCGCTCCTCTCATTTCTGTAAACTTGGGCATGTTCCAGTGCATGTGGAGAGGGGACAAAATGGCATCTGCAGAACATGAAACGTGTCTAACGAGAGATTTGTGCACCTTGAAAGGCAGCAGTGCTGAAGCTGCAAATGACTAATGAGTCGTTCCTCAGGAGTGGGATTAATTGCATCACCCCTTGATGCCGGGCTCTGGATCCTGCCTACACCTAGGGACAGGCACAGGAACCCATTCTGGGATTTACATACCAGCTACAACCTGCTAAACAAATTAAACAGAACTAACTTGCTTTCAGCCCCAACCAGCTGCTGGGCTCTACCAACATCACAAACTGGCAGCAGCCCTTTGAAGCAGGGAGATGGAAAAGGGATCCGAGCACCGGAGGATTTGGGGTGAATTTTTGTGGTTTTTGGTACCTTTTCACCTTCAAGCCTCCCAGGCTGGTGTCTGAGCAGCCACTGGACACTGCTGCACATCCACTCACACAAGCACAGGGCACATCCAGCTCCATGGCCACACACACACATCTCGAGGCTTTTCCAGCTCCTCTCCAACAGCAAAGCAGTGTTCCAGCAGGCCGTGCACAGGGACAAGGACAAGGTGCCTCGTGCAGATCTCACACAGCTCAAAGAGGGGCATTTTCAATGTCTTCTAAACTCCTGGACTCAATTCACTGTCAGCCACAAGCACAGCACAGAGCTGGCTCATTTCTGCATTCCTTACAGTGAATATCAATTGATTGCTCATAATCAATTATCGACTGAGCCCTCACAATAGAAGCAGATGTCAAAGAGCTGAATCTGATATCAGGGGGGGAAGAGGAGCCCAAACCAGGGGCTGTTTGCCAGGGCTGCCCTGCTGCTTTCTGCTTGTTCAAAGGTTTGCTCTGGCACTGCTGAGCCGCCCTCTCCTGCTCAGGTGGGACTCCTCGGCTGGGCACTTTCTGCATCCCTCTGTAAATGCACCACTGCTCCTCCAGCGCAGCAGTAAATGCATTTACAAGCTTCCCTCATGTCCTAAGTGACCGGCTTCCCTTTGAGCTGTTATAAATGCCCAAAGCATTCAAGGGAGAGATGGATTGATTTCAGATTTGCATTTTTGTCCTTCCCACTGCAAATTGCTCCTCCAGGAGGAGGTGCCTGGCTCCCACCTCCCCCTTGTAGCTGCTCTTTCCCTGCCGTACAACACTGCTGCCTTTGATGGCACCTCTGAATGGACTTTTCTGAAGGGAGAGAAAACAGAGCCGCAGCAAGGGGAACATTTCCATTTCAAGCACCATCTCTTTTTCCCCCTCAGCACTAGTTACCTTCAAAGCACTGAACAAAACCGACTGAGGAATCCTCCCCAGCGCCCTGGGAAGTGCCACCCGTCCCTGGGGACAGGTGAGACAAGTGAGCAGCAGGGAAATGACCCAGCAGAGCCGGGGCTGGGGCTGCTCACCCCTGGGGGCTCTGCCCACTGCACAGCCTGGCTGTGGGCACCCTTCACCCCGAGCAGCCTGGCAGGGTTTGCCCAGCAGCAGAGCCCTGCCTGCCTCGCCAGAGCCACCCACGCTCCTGCGTGGGCTGGGGGCAGGCCCAGGGCTGCAGACATCTGCCCTGGGAGCTCCTCAGGAGCACGGCCCCTGCTCTAGCACTGCTCCAGCCCAGGTGCTTCCCTGGCTCGTTTTCCAAGGGAACCCCAGCCCTGTGCCCCACAGGCACCCCCAGCCCCACGGTGGCCCCTGGCTGCTGCCAGCCCCATCACCAGGGGGACACCGACCCGGCTGGCCCCGGGGTGCTCCTGCAGACACTGCTGGCAGCGCGGTGTCAGCTTGCCTGGCCTTTGTCCAAGGGGTTTATTTTGCAGAATTAGCCCGTATTCCTCCTCTCTCCTGTAACTTAAGCCTGTAACTGGCACCTGGATGATTAAATGTGCGTGGTTCCAGACAGAGCCGCGCCTGTGCCTCGTGCTTCAGGCCTGAGATTTCACCACGCACGTCAAGTGTGGCCAAGGAAGTCACCTGGGCACTGATTATCTTCTTCCTCATAGTTTATTTTGTATCTCTCATTTTTATCATCTGAGTTCTGTATTCAACCCCTTTTTTTCCTCCATTCCTCAGTTCTCTTCCTTGTTTTTTGGTTGGTTTTTTTTCCTTCTTCTTTTTTTACCTCCATGCTTTCCTAGCAGAACTGAGGTCTGCAGCTGGTTTGGCTTTATTTCTTCTCCTTTTTCCCCCTCTCCACACCCTGCACTTCCAGTCTCTGAGTGTCTATCCATGGAGCACAAAGTGCACACACAGTGCACCAAATCTGACGGCACCTGGCTCCCTCTGGGTCCCTCTCCCTGCAGAAAGGACCAGAGCTGGGCTCCCCAGGTGGGACAGCTCCAGCTCCAGCTCCAGCCTGGTGAGGCTGAGGGAGAGGTCACATTCCCCTGGCTCAGAGGAGCTGGGCTCTGCGTTCTCACACGCACCCACAGCTCTGTCTGCCACACAAATGAGCAGCACTGAAAGCTTTGCACAGGAGTGCTGGGCCTGAGCTGGTGCCTGGCACAGCTTTCAGTGCTGCCACAGCCCCAGAGCTGCTGGGGCGGGCAGGGCTGGCTCTGGGCCCTGTCCCAGTGGCACGGCCACCCTCGGTGTCCTGGCAGAGCTCAGCCCCAGCCTCAGCCGCTGAGGGAAGGTCAGGAGAGATGTCCTCGCTCCCACCAGGGACTCGTGTCTGGCAGGAAAGCCAAATGCTGATCATCTGGTTTCTCAAGATCACTGAGGGATGGCAACGTTCCTTCCTGTCCAGAGCAAACTCTTTGGGACAGGGCCTGTGCCAGACCTCGAAACCAACACGAGGAAGTCAGTGCTCAGAGCAGGCTGGGCTACGAGGCAGAAAAGCCAGCCCTACACACCTACAAACAGCCAGGGGTGATGGGAGAGCTTTCCCACTGCACTCCTTTGCACCACCCCATTATAAATCCTGCTCCTGAACAGCTCCCAGAGCACCTCCTGCCTCTCCCCTCTGCCCATCAGTCACCACAGCTCTGCTTTTAAGCCTGGCTGCTATTCTCAGAGCAGCCTCCCAGCTCGTGTTTGCTAAGCTGATGCCTCCTCTGCTCCAAGGAGTGCCATCCCTGCAAATTATTGCAGTAATAAAGCCACTGGCTGTGCCACATTTCCTCTCTGTTATAAAGCACAGCCTTTCGAGTCCAACTCCGTGGGGACAGCAGGGAAAGGTGAGGAGCTGTGCAGCAGGAGCTGAGCCCTGATTAAGGAGCAGACACAGCTCCCCCCCTCTCCAGCACTGCAGGTTTAGGTCTTGATTTTCAGCAATCAAACCTTGTTCCCTATTCACTTATTCCCCTCACTCCAAACACACACAGCGTTACAATCATTCACTTTTCTCTAACACGCTTAAAATTCTTATCTCCAAACCCCAGCCCCGCGTTCCAGCACTTACCCACTCGGGGCTTTTTTCTTCCTTTGCAAGTGACTCCTTTCAACGCTGCAGCCTCATTAGGGAGAGCCTGAATCCGCTGCAGCTGGAAGCACCTTGCTGATCTGGCCCAAATACTCTCGGAGATGAAACTTGAAAGCTTTCTGTGAGGGGTTTGATGGGACAGGTGAGCACAGCATCTGACACGGCAGGATTGATTCCCAGCGCAGGGAGGAACAGCGGTTCAATGGCAGCTGACTCCAGCTTCGGGCTCCGCAGCCCAAGCAACGCTCCAGCCCTGCCATTTCCCGGTTATTTTAAGGCAGAGCACACCTGGTAATTGACCTGTAACTGTTCTCTCCCCCTTGCTCTGACAAGGTGTGAACGATAATGAATTCATGCCAGGCTCCTTTTGCAGTGTTAACCAGCACACAGCCCACGTAAGGGGCTTTTGTCAGAGCTGGGACTGAGCTCTGCCTCTGAGCAGAGCAGGATTCCAGCCTGGCTTTCCCCACAGCCATGGGGCCAGTGCCAGGCCCTGCTCCTGCCACTCATTTCAGCACAGCCTCACTGCCCTTCGGGCTTTGGGCAATTTGTGGCAACCACTGACCTGATTTTCCAGCTCCTTTTGCTTCCTGAAGCTTATTAAGAGAAAATCACCAGGTGGAAATAGAGGCCCAGGTAAGGGGGCTGAGCATTTGGACTTCACTTACTGAAGTGCCTGGTGAGGAACAGCCCTATTTGTGCTCCTGAACACAGCTCTGCTAAAAAGCTTCCTAAACCATCCTGCAGATATTAGAAGCTGCCTCCTTGAGAGAAGAAAAATCCCTTGATAGGATTTGTGTGTAATTAGCTGGTTTATTCATTTAACAGGTCTAATTCAGAGATCAGCTAAGTGTGAAAAGTGCAGTGGGCTTCAAATCTGCCACGGAGTGCAACCAACTCAGAGCAAGCAAGGCCTGGGCAAAGGACAAATGTGGGAGAGAGGGGCTGGCCCGGTGCTGAGCTAGGGCTGGTAAATTTGGTATTTATAGCAAAGCTCTTCTTAAGAGCAGCCTGACAAATGAGATAAACCTCCTAAGGAAACACAGCTGCCAGGTGCCCAGGGAAGGTTGTTTCCTTGTTACTGCCACAGCAGAACTGCGAGTATTCTTTGCAGTGGGTGGCGAGATGTGCCCTGCAGCTGTGAAATCCCGGATCACCGGGAGGGTTTAGGGCATTGGGGCACAGACCCGGTCCGGTCCGTGCCCTGCAGCTGTGAGATCCCGGATCCCCGTGAGGGTTTAGAGCATTGGGGCACAGACCCGGTCCGGTCCGTGCCCTGCAGCTGTGAAATCCCGGATCACCGGGAGGGTTTAGGGCGCTCGGGCACAGACCCGGTCCGGCCCGTGCCATGCCCTGCAGTGCCCGCCGCGCCCACCGGGGGGCAGTGCTGGGCACAGCCCGGCCGCAGGACAGCGGCTCCGGAGGAGTCATTAGCAGATCGGAAATTAATGACATTAATGATCTTACTAATCTGCCGCTGCGGAAAAAGGCAGCAAGAACTGGCTTAGACATCCTCTCGCTCACTTGTGTCGTAATTTGTTTTTTTCCTGTCTGGGAATAGAGTGAGGTCACAACTCAGCTCCCTGTGGCAGTACCCACACAGCAACAGAACCACACGGACAGAGACACCCCAAAAACTCTGATGAGCCTCAAGGTCCCTTCCAACAGAAACAATTCCATGACTCCACAATGCAAAGGTGGGAATCCTTGCTCCCGGACTCCTCCAAATACTTCCAAGCCACACACATCGTTGGGTTGTTTGATGCTTTTATTTACCACATGTAAAAACACTACTGTCTCTGTCTGCAGGTACCTCTTGCTGCACTGCAAATCACACGGCTCCAAACGTTGAAGATGAGACAGGCAGAGAAGGGAACTAAAGTGTTTATGCCCAGAATCACAATGTCATGACCCCTGAGGGTGTTAAACACACAGAACACCCCCAGGGACTGTTCTACAGAAGCAGCAGAGCATTACAATTAACAGACCAGAGCTGGTGAAAACACTGGGTGAAGGGATCATCTAGAGGATAAGAGGACCTGCAGACTGGTCTTTTCCTTCAGCTGCCCTTATCTTTCTAGTACAGATAATTGTGATCTAAGTCAAAATATCTAGTGCTGAACCAGAACAGAGGGGACTCTTCCACACTTAGTTGACACGAGGGTTCCTGAAGTTCCTCCCAGCAAAGCGAGCCTTGCTGCCGAGCTCCTCCTCAATTCTGATGAAGGACAGAGAGCACTGGGTGTCAGCAGCCAGCAGAGAACCCCTCACTAGCACAGGCCTCGCACTGAACACCTGGCCCACCTGGCCCTGAAACACCTGACCCACGCTGCACGGACACCCACCTGCTCCTGGAGGTCCTACACTGCCAAGGCAGCTCCCACCAAGGCCCTGCCCAGCAGGGCAGTGCCACACACCTGACACAGCCCAAACATTTGAGATGCTTGCCAAGAGAGGGCAGTGCCTCAGCCCAGCATCACAGGATGCTCGGTGGGATCTGTTCTGGACCTCGCCCACCCGGCTCCTCCTCAGCACAGCCACCTGCAGCCACAAGCACCTCTGGCTCGTGCTGCCCTGCAGGTGTTTCTGAGGGGCAAAGGCCAAGCCGTGCCCCAGAGCAGCAGCAGAACGAATGAATGCCCCTTCCCAGCCCAGGCTCACCTCAGCAGCTGGTTGTACTTGGCCAGACGCTCGGATCGGCACGGGGCACCGGTTTTGATCTGAGGGAAATCACAAAGTTAGTGAAGAACTCCAAGTGCCAACACAAAACCTGCTCAGAATAATGAGCACCATCACAAGCTCTGCTTGGGCATCAGGCTCAGTATCTACACATGCAAACACAACAGGTCCTGGGAGCAGAGGTTGTGCATTTGCTATCAGCTGCAGGACCAGGAAACCCCAGTACAGCCACTGGAGCCAAGACCTTTGACATTGCTGATTAAAGGTGAGTTTGCAAAAGATAAAGTGTTCCCTTGTCACACTCCATTAACAAATCAGCTCCCAGCAAACAGACACAGCAAATCCGCACCCCTGGAGGCAGTGCAGTGTACCATGGCTTTGGCTTCACCCCCAAATTATCCCAGGAAGCAAACAGCCAAACTGCAGCAGCTGCAGATACCAACCTGGCCAGTGCAGAGACCCACTACCAGGTCAGCAATGAAGGTGTCCTCTGTCTCTCCAGAGCGGTGGCTCACCATCACACCCCAGCCATTGGACTGGGCCAGCTTGCAGCTGCAAGAGATCAAAAGCAGCTCACACCATGTCCTTTGCTGCAGTGACACTGCCAAGGAGCAGCACAGGACTCTGCTCTGTACGTCCATCTCCCCCCCAGTTAAAACCAGCCCCACCCTGGCCCGGCCCAGAGGGCAGAACTTACGCCTGCAGGGATTCTGTCACCGAGCCAATCTGGTTGACCTTGAGGAGGAGGCAGTTGCAGGCCTTCTCCTCCACAGCCTTGGCAATTCTCTTCGGGTTGGTCACAGTCAGATCATCACCAACCACCTGGATGTTGACGCTGCCAGTGAACTTCTTCCAGGCACCCCAGTCATCCTGGTCAAAGGGGTCTTCAATGGACACCACTGTGGAGGGACACAGAAGCTTTAGGACAACGCCAGCACAAAAGTCTGGTTTGGATGAGTGGTACCAAAGTGCTGCAGACAAGTGCTACCCACTTCCCAGAACATTGCTGAGAGCCCGAGAGGCTGAGTTAGGCAGGAGCTCTCCATCTCTCCTATAACAGGGGCTGCACACCAGCTCCCTCCTTCAGCAGTCAACCCTGACTCACCACTACTACTGCGTTTCTCACTGACAAGCAACTTACCAGGGTAGTTCTTGACAAAGCCCTTGTACAGGTCAGCCAGCTGGTCAGGAGAGATGTATCTGCTGGGATCATCGGGGGATTTGAAGTCCAGGTCGTACTTGCCATCCCGGTAGAACTCGGAGGCAGCCACGTCCATGCCGATGACCACCTTGTCAGTGTAGCCAGCCTTGGCGATGGCCGTCTTCAGCAGCTCCAGAGCTGCAACACACACAGCTGCTGCTGGGACCTGCAGGCACCCTGCCCCAGAGCCCCTCGCTGCCCAACAGCAGCGTGCTCACTTGGCAAACAATCTCCCTCACCCCTCCAGAAAGCCCAAAGGAAAAGGTTCTTAAATTCTCCCACTTCTCAACTGACTGGAACAAGATATTACTTTAATACTGCTTTTAGCTTGTAATACCCTTGAGACACCATTATGGGATTCCTAATCTCTTCAGGCAGGACTACATGTCAGCCCAGAAAGCTTAATACTAGATGATACCACATCCTCTTTCAACTTTATGCATGTGGGCAGAAGCAGGGCCTGCACTCTAATCCCTTTTAGCTCCAGAGCAGGTGTTTATCACGGAAGTGGTGAGCATCCAAACCCCAACAGCAGGGAGACAGAGCCTGCCTCCAGGAGGAGACCCCTCCTGGCATCTACCTGTTCTCCACCTGCAAAGAGGGGACAGAACCACTCAGCAGAGATCTCTGGATACTGCCCACTGTGCTACTATTTGGCAGAGTCCTATCGACCCCAAGTTGCAGGGGAGCAGCTGAGATCAGCTGGGCTCTGTTTGCAGCAGGAAGCTCAGATCAAGTGTTTTCTTTTGTTGTTGGCTTGGCTTTTTGTTTGGGTTCTTTTTGTGTGGGTTTGGTTGTGTTTTGTAAGATGCTAATGCAGCACAAACTGCAAAAACAGCTGCTGCCAGCAACAAAAATTCCTTGGAATGTAATTGTCATTCAAGGTCATCTTCACTGATGCCTGCAAGAGCACAGACCCAGCAAAGCTGCATGTGACACTGGGACTCAGAAATGACACAACTGCTGGTGTTATCTCAGTATAGTCAAAAAAAGCAGTGCAGGTCACCAGTCCCCTCTACAATAACAACCAACAGCTGTAAAGTAAAAAGCAACTGAGCCGAGCTCCTGTTCTACTGCCTTGTGAGCAGCTCCTTTTCTGGAGAGGCAGAGAAAGCTCCTCTGGTACAGTTTTTGTAGGAACAGATATTTTGCTTCCCACGGGCAAATTGCCTCTCCCACAGGTTGCTGAACAGAACTGTTTGGCCATGGAAGCAGCAAGTGCCTCAGCTTCCCAGGCAAGCCTCCGTGCCCTCCCACACACAGCCAGGCAGAGCACAACCTGTTTCCCTCTTTGTCTGCAGAAAAACAACTCCACTGATCTGACTGTTGACTTCTGGAACACCTGCAGTGCACAGAAGTTCCCACATCACTTTTCAACTAGAAGGGCACAAGGTTCCCTTTAAGCTGCTACAGGAATGAGAGTAATGAGGAATGAGAGTAATGAGGCACGGAAGTAAAAACCATCCTGTCCAACTGCATAAACTGATGTCCAAGGGAATACCTGACCACATCAGTAGAGCATCTTGGGATGTCTGCCAGGGTAAGAAACAGAGTAAAGACAAAGCAGGAAGTTCTACACCTTTGATCCCATTGATCCTGCTTGTCATCAGTTCATTCTCCAGCTATCAGTTCCATGCCTCCCACACTTGGCTCATTCTCACCTTCTTTGTTTTCCAGGATGTTGGGGGCAAAGCCACCCTCATCCCCCACGTTGGTGGCATCTTTGCCATACTTTTCCTTGATGACGTTCTTGAGGTTGTGGTAGACCTCTGCCCCGACACGCATGGCGTCCCTGAAGCTCTCTGCCCCCACGGGCAGGATCATGAACTCCTGCATGGCCAGCTTGTTGCCAGCATGGGAGCCCCCGTTGATCACGTTGAAAGCCTTGGAGGAACCAGGAAAAGCCAGGTTGGAACATGTCAGGGGAACGTGGTACAGCCCTTACATCACACTCCTTCTACCCCAGAGCCTGACCCAAGAGCACCAGGCTAAAGTCAAACCACGGCCCAGCCTGCCCCACCCAGGCACTTACGGGAACTGGGAGAATGACCTCTGGATTTCCAGCAAGGTCAGCGATGTGTCGGTACAGGGGAACACCCTTCTCAGCAGCACCAGCTTTGCACACAGCCAGAGACACACCCAGGATGGCATTAGCACCAAACTTGGCTGAAATGGGAAGAAATTGATTAGAGAAGCGTCTTTATAAAAAGAGACTCCCAAGGTTTGAATTATGGCAGTGCACAGCACATGGCCATACACTGGCTACTGGTTCTGGTAAATACAATTCTATTGGCTCATCTTTATCTTTTCATCCCTCAGTGCAACACAAAGCCCACTCACATTTGTTCTCTGTCCCATCCATTTCCAGCATCAGCTTGTCAATCTTTTCTTGTTCCACCACGTTCACATTCTGCAGAGGGAAGCAAACAAAATGTTTGACACCAAGCACAGGC